GGATGCATGTCAACTGAGATTAAGTGAGCATGAGGTTATAGAAGAAAATCAAATATGAGCACGAGGGAAATTCTCCTTTTAGACTATCAAAGGGCTGATCACATGTTCCCTGATGGTATTTATCAGGATCCCTGCTCAGTGGAGCAACAGCAGACACATTTTGCTGCGTTACAATAATGGGGGGAAGAAATTATCAAAAGGTAAAAACAAACAACAATAAAAGCCAGCTCACCTATGCGGAATACAGCAACCTCTTGCAGCAATGGTTGCACAGCCTACATACAAGTTCGTCTTTCTTTTTAAAGAAACTAGCATGCTCTTCCTGTAAATTGTGCTAAACCTGTTAAACTAATTGCATCAAAGATGTCCGTTGTCCTCTTTATTTCAGTGTGTTTTTCTAAAAGCCTTTCTGTGATACTAGCCTGTCGTACTATATAGATTCTTGTGACAAATATTGTGTTTTATGTTCAAATCTATTTGCAAAGAGGCCTTGCAAAATTATTTGGATGCAGAAGCAATAGACGTTTCTATGAACTGTATGTCAGAAAGCCTCTAATCATGTCAAAACACTGAGATGTGATACTGCATTTTTGTAACGTTTAAAGAAATTGTTCAGCTCACGTACTCACAGCTCTAGCTTACAAGGCTGAGGAAGCCTTGTAACAAACAAACGTAAGCCAGCAGAGTGCTACCACCTCCATTTCACAGGTGGAAATAGTGAGGCGTGGTGCCACTGGGACACACCTCCCCACAGCTCTGTTCAACAGTCATGCGCTCCAAATTCCTGAAAACTCAGCTGGATAGGGATTCATTGAAGACTGGTATGGTAGACAGGGAAGCTGAAACACATTCTGTTTCAGCTGTAATGTCACCAGCAAGACAGGCTCTCGGTGTGTCAATGTAGACCTTCTCCAATCAGCCACTCAGATTAAAAAAAAAACGCTCACATAAGCTCAGAAGAGAAAAAAAAAAGACCAATAATCAAAAACAGTTCTAGGGGCACATCAGGACTTCTCTAAATTACGTTCTGATATTTTAGACTATTTTCAGATCCCTAATAAATTAAAGATTAGACCACGTACATGCCCCTGTTTGGAAAATCTGCTGTTCTTTACTACTTCAACATCTGTTAATTTGGTAACACCTGCTCTGAAAGCCATCTGAATGAACCTAATAGAATTCTGTCTCTTTTGAGCTTCTAATGCAAAAGCCTGCAACAACTCTTCATTCTTTTCAAGGATCCTTTTTAATCTTAACTTTGGTTTGAAATAAGTAGGAAGAAATATTTTTCCTGACATGACACGTGGTCAATTAAAGAAACAACAAGTGCTATCAGATGCAATAAGAGGTTTTAAATTCAAATTACATATCATCAGTCTTCTTTCTAAATTCAGCTTTTGCTACAGGTGTGGTAGTTTGGCATTTTCATGTCTCCTGTTAATACAGACTACCTGCATACTATGAGAAAGCTCATCTGATCCTCCAAGGAGTAAAAATGCAAGCTCCTACTTGGTTCAGTAAACAGAACTGCTCTCCGACATCCATGAGCAGAAGTGTTTCGTTAACATCTGATTTAAGACCTCACATAATAAACAAAAAAATACCCCATTATTTGCCTCCTTTTTAAATAATCAAACAAGCATGCAAGAAAGCAAAATTTCTATGTCTTTCTTCTACTGTCAGGATAACGTGAAGCCTGGCGTCATGTTTTTGCTTTGGTACATCTTCTTAATACTATGTATCAATGAAATGTTACTGGTAAGGGATCTGCTGGAAAAAAAAAATAAACTGCTTTGGAAAAATAATTTTAAACACAGTCAACCGAAACTGCTTCTCACCAATAAATTCCCATAAAACATTTAAAAAGATTATCTTGGTAGAACTGACTTAATGAATACTCAAAATGCAAGCTCAAATCTACCCTGTAAAGCAATCATGGTTTTTAGCAACTATTTTGACCTTAGTGACACAAACAATTAATTCTACAAACTTAATATCAAAATAAAATTCTACATCTAATGCAGAATAATCTGTCAATGTATTTAATCACGGAGATGCTTTTCCCATGTATTATACATTCTAGCATGTAACACTAATTTTAACAGACAAGAAAAAAAATGAAAGTGAATCACTGAGTATACATTTATATATATATAAATCTGAGAGAGGATGTCACAAGCCAAAATAAGCAGAAGAAGCAAGTCTGAGCAGATAACAGTATTACACAACAATAATAAAAATCTACATTCACTTTAGCAGTATTTATAAATTGATAAATATCGACAGTGAGATAAAAAGTTGCTTACACTCTAGTCATACATCTTCAGAGCCGACCTGATGACTTGTGACAGCACCCAATCCATTTATCACCGAGTATGTATTACAATATATTACAGAATACTGTCATTCTCTCTTGATACATAGGTGAGGAATAAGCACCTGATTTAAGACAAACTTCTCACCTCTATATAAAGATGGCAACAACATTGTTCATCGAGCCAGAAATAGGACTGTCCAAACTCCACATAATTCCAAGTAAGAATCTAATGAAGTTTACTGTTTTAACTTATTAATTTTATATAAATCTAGCCATTTGTGATCACATGCTTCAACCTGATGCTTGAACAAGACCACATACAAACTGAAATGTTTAGGTTATCCCAGTGGCTCTTCGCACATAGCCTGAAGTGTCTTATACGCAACTTTGCCCAGTACGCATTCGTGCCATGCTGAAAACTTCCTCTGCATTTTTACTCAACCCTTATGGCTATTCTCAGGTGTGAGCATCGCTTTAAGGGGCCGCCCAGCCAAAGGAAATGTTCCTTTCCCTCTTTCAGAGAAAGCTGGGAAGAACTTCAGTTGGTTAATTGAATGCCCACATAAATATGACTTGGAGAACCCAAAAGAGGAATGTTAAACTGTGACATCAGTAAATTATATCTTGCATATATCTAAACAATAAAAAATCTTTAAAGAAATAACTATAGGTACTTTGGGGTTTGCTCTGTTTTTCAACTTGTCAAACTTAGACTGGCAAGTCGCATATAAAAAACAGCATTTGAGAGAGTTAGTACAGTGACAGCAATAAAAACAGGCAGCATTTTTCTCTTAAATCATGTTTCAAAAGGCACTGGGTAAAAAGCAGGGGGAACAAAAGAGGAAGAAAAGCAAAAGCAGTATAAAGCTATGCCCATTATCTAAAGGACATCCTACTGCATGTTTACCAGTGTTTATGTTTCACATCAACATATTTTATAGAAGGATTTATAAGCCAAACTCAAGTTGTATTTAAATCCTGTGGTGCAGACCCTGCCATAAAACGCCTCTTGAGTCCTGTTAACTGTACCCAGGGCTTTACTTTGCCTGTCTTCTTATTTAAGGTCTAGTCACAGTTTTGAAGAAAAGGCTGTCACTTCTGAGCCTGTCCCCTCAGAACCTGCCTGTTATTGCTACCCAACCAGCTATTTTCATATGCAGTTGTTATTCTCTGTGGTCTTTGCTATCTGCAGGAATGTGTGACTGTGCGGACAAACTGACCGCAAACCTCCATGACTGCTGCTCTGAGTACAGGGAAGCAGCACACGCTTCTATTGGTATTTTCATGTTTTAAGCTGCCTCACTACAATCCAGTTTTCTTCACATTTTTAACAATTAAATGCACTCATGATAAAGATTTCAGAATACCGCTATAATCTGAATGACTGAATAAAGGTGACAGCATGCTTTTAAAGGAAAATGCTGTTAAATTATACATGCAATTTTATATAATTTATGTAACTTCTTATAAACATAGTGTATATACATACACTGGGTATGTAGAGTCAGTAGTAACACATATGTATGTAGAGCGCTGGAACTCGATGAAGACACTGAATGCCCTTCCTCAGCCTGTGGCACTGTTAGAGCAGAGCACGCTGGCACTTGAAGCAAGGCACTGATTTAAGCCTCAGCAACTTCTCGTATTTAAATCAACTATTTAATTCTTCCACGTTTTCTGTCACTGTGTAAAATATTTAACTATAAAAGCAGCCGGGGTACACCGTTCAATTCAGCGCCTAGAATGATTCAATTTTAAGAGCCGCGGTGACCTGTTATTTCAGAGGCCCGTACACACGCAATTTATCTCTCATGTCTCAACGCGTTTCTATAAAAGGGGATTTTTACAATATTTTGTCTTACGTGAGACAACTTTCCTGCCATTAAGCCAATGAGTAGCCGGTGTGGTGACGAAGCCCCTCGGCACGCAGAGCAGAGGGGCGATGCGGGGCGACGCGGGGCGGTGCTGCCGGCCCGGCACCGAGGGGCTCCGGCCGGGGCCGGGGGGGCGCCGGCACTGCGGGCTCAGTGACGCCCGGTGGGGCCGCGCCGCGCCGCACGGCCCCGCACGCCCCGGCGGGGGCTGCCTCCTCCTGGGCAAAGTGGGTCTGCGCTCGTGCCCGGTTTCAAAGGAAACGTGAAGTCACAAACATTAATTGACTGCATCTCGTTCAGCGGACACGAGTAAGCAGACAACAGGTTAACGTGACGCTTCTGGCCGGAACAGCCGTCCGGCGTAAACTCGCCGAGAAAGCAAACTAACTAACTTAAAAAGAACGTTTTCCGAGCGAGCCGGGCCGCGCTCTGCTGGCGGGCCGCTTCCCCCGGCGGCTCCCGGCCCCGAGCGCACGCACCCCTGACGGGGCGCTCCCGCCGCCCGCACCCCGCCCGCCGCCGCTCGGGCCGCGCCGCGCTCTCGCAGGGAATGTGGCCCTCTGGCGGAGGGCGCCGCGCCGCGCCGGCCCCACGCGGGACCGCGCCGCTCGCAGCTCGCCCCGCGCGGCGCCGCACCCCGCCGCCAGCCCGGCCCCGCTCCGCGCTGCCCCTGCCCGGCCCTGCCCCTGCCCCTGCCTCTGCCCCCGGGGGGGCCGCCCCCACCCTGCGCTCCCGGAGCTCCTGGTGGGCGCGGGTCGGCGGGAGAGACGGGGCCGCGTGAGAGCAGCCGGCGCGGCAAACAAACTTACCTGCTGTTGTTGCAGATGCAGCAGTTCCACTGTGCTTACTTCAGTGCTCGTGTCACCACTTGATCTTCCATCTCTGCTGCCAGCATCTAATTGGCTGCTTAGAGTGCTCATTCCATTTTGATTCATTGAACTGTTGCTTATTGTCTCTGTCGCAGATTCCTGCATCATGACTTAATACCTAAAAGTGATTAAGAAGTATCAATTAACACCGCGTTACACCTTCGCACTTCCATTATCGAGATGTCCCTCTCTGCCAATTACTGACGGCATCTTTCGCAGCAGGGAGAGCCTGGCGGAGCCATTTACCACCGAGCGCGGTCCCAACTCTCCTTCGCACAGATACTAATCACCGGAATTATGGTTTCTATAAGCAATCCTTGTGCGGTTCCATTTAACAGCCAAAATAACACGCCGTGCGTGCAGCATGGTCAATAGCATTTACGAACGACCACATTTTAAAGTCTACCTATAAAACCGGTTTAAATGAAGGCACGACTGCACGCGCCGCTCTATATTTCCTATTATCCAGCTTTGACAACCATGGATGACTATACAGCCTTCTTTAAAACATTCACTATCTTGATTCTGTCAGAATTTTACAGCGTATCTTATGCGAGGCTGTTGTTTAATGATGCACAGCTAATCATACAAAATTAAAATTTTGTAAGGGTGTTACAAATCATATGGCATCAACCAATGATAAATAGTATAATGGGCTTCTCCTTTTTTGTGACTAAATAAAATTTTGCCTCGGAGGCATTTTAAGAAAAAGCTCCTGCTGCAAACACGTCAGATATTGCCTATTTTTTTAATCAAACGGCTGATATTCATTTATTTTTCTGACATTTAAAACATTTAATACTGTCCTTCCTGGGAAGTAATTAAGCTTATGCATGAGCAGCAATCAAACTGTTCACTTGAAGATGACTTAAAACTCAATTTTAACATAGGCAAATAAATGAAAGATATAAAATTAATTTTCCAGGCATGTATTAGATATGAAAGCTGGAAATAAAATCTATCAAGAATATCACTAATGATTGTGCTAAAAACAGCATAAATTATGCATATTACCTTCTCTACAGTAATAAATGTTTTATCATTTTCACTGCATAAATATACTGTACTTTCAGGATAGCAATGAGATGTCCTGCCAAGATCAGTTGAAATCTTTGCAGTAAATAAAGAAGCGGCGTGCCCTCACAACCAGCAGCTCGAGGAGCATTTTGTATCAGTAATACAGAAAGGTCAGGTCCTGCTCTCAGAGCCACCCAAGTCCCATCCCGCCCCGGCGGCGTCAGCGTGCACCTCGCTGCCTTTGTCACCACACAGACGCACAGAGTCCCCACAACAACCTCGATGGTGCTACGCTGAAAGATACCTCTGAAGCGCACGTGAGGTGTAAGCAAACAGCACGAGAAGCAACGCCGCTGCTCTGCCTCATTACTGAACTTAGGGATTTGCTCTCTTGCAAAGTGCGCCCAGCATCCCTTCCTAGCAAGGAACACGGGGAAGAATGATTGCAACTTAAACTGAGTGCGTGGGATATAAATCAAAACGCTGTATAAATCACCACAAACCCCTGAGATAAGCTGCAAGAGCGTATCGTGTGAAGAAAGTTGCAATAGCAAAATATAAGTTATTTGAAGATGCTCTGGTCAAAAATCAACAAGATGCCAGAAGCCCAAACATGAATGTGGTTGATGTAAGGGCGGGCAGCTGTTACACCACAGCAAACAACAGCAGAAACAGATGTGTTTGTGGACAAACAGCCCTCCCCGAGTGCTCCCACCAACATCAACTAAGAAAAATAATAGAAATGGAATATGTGATACACATAGTGATGAATTTTACAAGACAAAAACAAAGCTAATACTCTTTTCTGAGATTAGGCAGCTAATAAGTATTCAAATTAGGCATAAATTTTACATGTACAATGTTTAAAATATTCAGAGAAAAGGGTCTGATTGCCCTTAGTAGTGATATGAAAATTCTAATGCGGGTATTCCGCAACGGTGGGAGCAGGCATCCCTCTCAGATTTTTACAATATTTACTTTGAATAAAAAGACGTGTATATCATAGCGGGAATCTATTTAAAACACTTCATCTACTGTATCGTTACAAGGATTTGGAAATTCGGGAAATCCAAACATTAATCCTCTTTTAGTCAAACAAAGATTTAGCCAACAGACAGGTTCATCTTTTGAAATTTCTCTCGTTAGACAATAACAGCAGTAATTCAGCCCAGCGACATCAGAAGGGCAAAGGGGTGCACACGACAGTTAACCAAAACAGTAGAAAACACTCTGAAATTTAGCAAAAAAGAAAAGGCAAATCCCCTGTTTTTACACCCCTCTGCCTCTTCCATTACAATTAGCAGAGAAGGGTTAAACATCTTCCAGTTCATGTTAACCAAGGGGTTTTATGTCTTGTGGATTTTGTATCCGTGCAAAGCCCTGGAGTGCAGTTCAGACTCTGCATTTTAAGTTAAAGTGTCTGTGAGCCAGCAGAACCAGGGCTCAGCATAACGTGGCCAGTAACAGTGCTCCAGCAATAGGAAACAACAGACCCAACCCAACCCCTACGCAGAGAGAGAGAATCAAACATCAACCATCAATACTGAGGGTAATTCATTTGGCAGCAAAGGGGAGGAAATACTGAAGTGTTTGCATGAGGAAGAAAGAATCTCCAGAACTTCATATTAAAAATGAAATGCTTTTCTATTTTTAAAAGGGTATTTTTAAAAGCAATACAGAAACTTTCGCTTGAGGAATGCCCTGGGCTGGTTGTCCACAGACGATCAACTATAGAAGGGCTACTGAAAAAAGCAAGGGCACGGCAACATTCTCTTTCCCTTTCTTTTCTCTTGCAGACACACACACATCTGTATACATCTGTATATACATACATACATATGCACATGCATGCACATAGATAGTCAACTCTACCCCCACAAATTAAGGCACTGAAAACACCTACATAAGGACCTCTCTAATACCCATGTGTCAGTAATTTCAGTTATTGGTGAATAATTTTCAGTTGCAGTTTGAGCCTGCAGCAGTTCATTAAGCCACTGATGTACTTTTTCTTGCTTTTACAGCAGGAGTACAGGTTGCTAGCGTAACAGTCATAAATACGAAGGGAATAAGAATACAACAGCTGCCAGATACTAAGAAAGTTTAGTATTTCAAACAGGACAAGAAAAAAAAAAATAACACACAAGTCTCTATTGGCATACATTTCCAGACATCCATACTTCCATTCCTTCCCTTTCTCTCCTTCCACACTCCCTGCCATCTGTGACCATGCCCACGCAGGCAGCACTACACCACAGCTGACCCTCCAGGCCCGACTGCCAACGAGGAGTGCAAGCTCCGCTGCCCAGTGCTTTAAACAAAGCTATGGGGAAATGCCTGGTGCTCTCTGCAAGAGAGAACACACTGCTGCTGATTTTAGCGCGTGGTCATGCTGCAGGTTGCAAGTTGCAAGTTCAATTCTGCCAGGGTGCATGCAGACCAGCAGAGGAATGCTATGGCCCCACCAAGTTGGGAGCTGCAGCCTGACTCCTCTTCCCACAAAGTTGCCTGCACGTGTGCACGCGCGTGTGCTCCAAGGCGGCACGCCGCGGTGCAGATACTTATTCTCTACACCGCTTCCCTTCTGAAACATTAAACTGACACTGGAACTGACTGCACAAGATTGCATTTTCTCTTCCTAAACAACTTGAATTGAAAGGTTACTTAGTGTAACAATATTTACTTGCAGAATTGTGTTGTTACCAAGGGTATAATGGATGGTGGCTATGCAGGTTTACGCAAGAATGAGTGAAGCATGAGGCATTAGCCATGTGTTTGACATGTTTCAAATTGCTATAATCCAGCATTAAACACACCCAGCAATTCATGCCATTTCTTGCAGCCATAATCTTGAATAAAGCGTGCACAACCACTTATTATATAAATTAGTATATGACTCCCTGTTATAGTCACAACAGTGCTTTTGTGTTTATTTTGCATCAAGATGTGGTCTTTTATTTGTACAAATAGCAGGATACAAAGCCGGAGCTCAATTAGAGCCCCTCACTTTATGACAGGGTGCGCTGAGAGCCAGCCCCATTTGGTCCCTCCCCACGAGGCGTGAGCCCTCAGCACAGGCCTCCTCCAGTCCCCAGGTGTCTCGGTCAGGCTCCTGCAGGCCACACAGCTCCCACAGGCAGCACTCCCACCCACGCCCCCCACGTGCCACTTCTGGCAGAGCCACAGCGCGGCCTGTGGCAGGACCCGTGCAGCCCAACCTCCCTCCTCGAGGCCTTGCTCCAGAAGCGAGCTCCTCTTTGCTTTAGGCCTACCAGTGGCACTTTGCAGTGCGCTGACAGCCACACGAGGCTGTTGCCTTGCTCCCTGTCCCCACAAGGGCCCCATCTTTGCATCAAAGGAGCAGGAATCTCAGTTAAAAAGTGCCCTGCTTTCGACTGACTTGCCAGTACTTCAGACATGGAAACCAGTAGCAGTCCCTGCAAGCACAGGTGAAAAGGCTCCTGAATCAAAGCAGCACCCACACACTTGCAGCCTAGCACTGAAGTCCTCACTTTTGTTTATATACAGACAGCACACAAGTGTAGCATGCAGAATTAAGTGCCAACCTCTTCTCCACTTTACACTGTGACACTTCCCACAACACAGCCTAAAATCCTGCCTTAAAAACTTGACTATGATGTAAAAGTGGAGGTGAGAAGCTAGACTTAAATAATGGTAACTTTTGTGCTCTGCTGGGATTAATTCATCATTGACACCAGGCACAATGCATCCCAAGCCTTGCACTGGTATGTTAGAAATCCCTAATACTTAAGATTGCCTAATAAATCAAAATGCCAAATATGAAGGACATCGCTGAATGTGTGAGAGTGAAAAAATTAGACAAGCTTAGAGAATATTCATAAATGTGTTCTTTTAACTTTACCTAAAACAGTTAGCTCTCAAAGCTAGAGTTAAACAGAGCTATAAATTATCCCACTGCACATCTTTAAATATGTAAGTAAATTAACACGACTGAAGCACTAATTAGGCCAACTGCTATTGAAATACTGTCAAATAAAGTACCTATATAAACAGGCTTAATATATTGTTATCTATTTGAATAGATTTTTCCTTGTAAAAATGTATGGTGTGCTCAAATCT